TAGCGCCTAAACGAAGGGGCTGATCTCGAATCTACTAGTCCATCCTTCGGAGGTGCGAAAAAAAATGCATCACCCCTTTCGATTCCGTACAAAACAACCCACTCGGGGTATATGGAGGTAAATTTAAAAAAAAATGACTCGTAGAAATTGGATGGACAACATCGGTCTATCCGAGAAGCGAAAACCCTGCTCCTGCTCCTCGTTTATCAGTAAACGCTTACAGCAGGACTGGCAAAATAAATTAAATTGAATTATATTCCCTCGATAATTTCATCAGGGCAAAATCTAAATGGGCAGATTAAAATGAAGACTTTATTCCTGGGCAAAATTAAATCCAAGGGGCAAAATCCGGGCACTTTTAAGGGCTAAATAGATATAATTTTGCCCTTGGGTCAAAAAAATTAAATTTTAATTCAGGGGGTAAAATACTAAATTAAATTAAATTTTGAGGCTTTAACATCCCGAAGGAGTTGTGTTTGAAAATTTTTAGACATTTCACTCATGGAACACGAAAATCCTCGCAACCCATACTGGGCCTTGTCTCCTGCCCAAAGTCCGAGTTGAACTCCAGCGACCATCCCCGGACGCATCTCGGGTAGTCTCTCGAATCTCGGGCTCGTGGGGCCTTATTTTTTTTTTGGGGGGGGGGGTAATTTAGACCAATCATCAAATTCTGCCCTCGGAGATAAAAAGGATTTTTGCCTCAGAAATTTGCCCTGGGTAAAATTATAATTATAAGGAATTGCCCTTTGAGGACCAATTTCGAAAGGGCTTTATGATCTTGCCCTAGGGCAAAATAGTTTGTCGGGGCGAAATATTTTGCCCTCCCAAAGGCTAATTTTAGAATAAGATTTAATTCTTTTTTCCAGCCCTGGCTGACAGCAAAGGGGCAAGGGGCCGGGGAGGGGGGGAGGGCGGTAAACCGTCAAAAATATCGCTGACGTAGCTTGTTCACGGCACTGAAATTCTGGAATATTGATACTTTGTTGTACTCACTTGTCTAACTTTGTGCTGGATGTCCTGTCTGATGGCAAGCGTGTAAATGAAGAAGGACAAGGCTTGCATCGAGGTGTCCGAGGCCGCATAGACGATGGTCTTCACCTCATCGTTGAGCTCCTCTTCGTTCAGCGCTGCGCTTTCTTCAGAAGATAGCACGTGATCCAGAAACGCTTGCCGCTTCCGCGGGGGGTTCAGGGGATTCCCGTTGTTATTGAAGGCTTTCTTCTTCTCCCCTACGATCTTCTGTACAAACTCGTCAAATATTTTCCTTAACTTAACGTACTCCAGGTACCGGGTGCGATGCAGCGAGTAAATCCACTCGCTTAGGAACCATGGACGCCTAACTCGATAGAACCAGTTTTCAAAACCCTTATGGGTTGCACTGATGAATTCCATCTTCTGAGGGTCGTCTTCATCCAGGTCTGAAGACATGATGGTCTCGCAGACAGTGTTATTGGTGCAAGCCCCACAGAGTGGCGTCACGTCCAATACCTCCCCTTTGTCAGCGTACCCGGCTAGCAGGTCGGCGAGGACCACCCCCCGCTTGTAGAAGGTCGGCACGAAGTCGCGCAGGATGTCGAGGTGCAGGCTGGGCGAGATCGCTTTGCGGTGGCGGCGCCAAACCTTCCCGCCTAGGGTAACCAGTCCGTTCCCTAAGATCGGCTCTAGCGCCCGGTACGGCTGTGGCTTATCCAGCGCCTTGGGGCTTGTCAAGACTGCCTCGACGTCGGCGGGTTGCAGAACGAAGAGGATATTGATGTGTCCCAACGTGAAGCGGCACACCGGCCCGTAGCTGGCGTAGGTGGAGACCATCGTGTGGACGCGGTTGTAGATCTCGTCGGGGCTGCTGAGTACTTCGAGCGCATTTCCGATGATGGGGAGCCTGGGCGGCCCCGGCAGCTCTGCTATCATACGGCGGACGCGCCTGAACTCGGACACGGCGGGCCAGGAGCGGACCGCCAGACAGGCGGCGACCACCAGCAAGAGCAGGACGAGCAGGAGCATGTTCGGCCGACGTACCGCTGGAAAGACTGGAGTGAACCACGCCGGGGCGCAGAGGTACTCCCGTAGTTGTCCTTACCCCCCCCCCCCCTCCCCACTGCGCCAAGCGCCACGCCTACGCCGTGCCGCCGCCGCCGTCAAAAATATTCAGTCCGCCGCAGACCCCGAGCTGCCGAGTAATTTGTCGCCGCCGTCGCGCCGGCACGACAGTCTTAGCTCTCGTTTTTGGTGTATTCAAACAGAAACCGCCTTACACGTAGGCAACCCATTTTCCTTAAGTCATCTCGTAAGGGAAGCTGGGGTCCCATGAGACACTTTTTGTTTTTCGGGCCTGTAGGCCACAATTGTTGAGATATTTGAACTTTTAAAGTCGGGATTGAAAGTATGGCTAATTGCCTGTCAAATGATACCCAAGTCATATTTTTAGTAAAACTCTTTTTCATACAGGAATAAATTTGAAAAAAAACCTTGCAAAGTCACATGGGACCCTGGACCCGGGGTCCCATGAGACTCACTCGGGGACCCATGAGACACTTGTAACTTTCATGGTAGAGGAGGTAAAGGGACAGGAAAGAAATGTTCCTTAGTCCGATAAATGCCTCAATAAAACAAAACAATCGTTTCAAAATATAATAGAACGGTTAACATTAAACAAAAAAAAAAATTTGGCTAAATAAGAGGAAGACCAGTTATATTGGACTAATTACTCTGATACTTAGTGCGCAACTGCTTAAAACTTGCAACTGCAACTGAAAATTGAATATATGCAAGTGTCTAACTCAGTAGTTCTACACTTACAAGTGTCCTTACCCAGATGGGACCCCAGCTGCAAATGTCTCATGGGTCCCCAAGCTGCAAATTTTCATTAAAAGTGGTATAGAGTGTATATGTTATGTGTGAGGATCGCGGTTCGGGTCTCAAATTGAAGAGGGAGGACCACTTGACAACAACAGGAGACGTCCAGGCCCAAAAAGTAATAATTAATGGTGAAAAGCGAACGTGCCGCTCCATACATCAAATTTACTTTACCTCAAAATATGGACTTGCCCAACTTCAGCTGGCTCTCACACACTCCATATTCAAACCAGACCCTCGGCTTTGCAGCTACCAAGAACATACCTGGTAGGGTTGCAACCCAATTTTTTGTCAGCGCCTCCAACTTTTACTTTCCGAGATATCGCAAAAGTCTCATGGGACCCCAAGTCTCATGGGACCCCAGCTTCCCTTACTATAGTTTCACAATTTCGCAATCAAACTCTTGAAATTACAGGTAATCTCTTCCATTGTCATAAGAAAGTGAAGTAATTGGCAGAGCTATAGCGAACCCTATTAGTCCAGAGATGATCATAAAGTTTCGCGGCTTTGTCTATTTGTCTGTCATCACGATAACTACTCGAGAACGGTTTGAGCTAGGTATACGTGAAATTTTTATTGTAACTTTTGTATCATAAAAAGCAAGAACTGTATTGATTTTGAGCCCTCTAGCTCAAAAAAATTGATAAATAAATAAATAAGATAAATAGAGACTGTTGTTGTACGTTTGTTGTCTGCATTTTCTTGACTGTTAAAACTTTGTTGGTTTTTCCCGACAATTGACAATTGGCCTTTAGCCACCCACGAAGCATTCGTTGTTAAAAATGTTGCCAGAATTCTTTGTGTTTTTTTTTATTTACTTCGAAATAACAACTCTTCTGCGTTATTTAAAACTGATTAACTTCAGAAGTATCACGACTGGTCAGCAACTATTTCAGATTGAGATATCAAAACTCTCGAATTTGTTGCACATGTAGGGAGTCAGCAGGTATATAACGCATACATGTACACACTTGGGTTTCCAGAGATCCTGCGCAGAAGCTACAGATAGGAAACAAAATACCAAAGATGAAACAAGCCTTGCTTCAGCGCTATATTCCCACCTAAAAAAAATAAAAGGAAAAATTTATTTAGCTTAAAGCAAATGTCGTTAAAATAAAGTAAAATTTTCCTTAGATTAACTTAACTTTCTCGAAAAGAATGGAAATGCCTAAAAGCAAGGACAACAATTTCCTTGTATTTTTGTTAGAAGAATTTTCCTTGGTTTAAGGATAACTGCGCACGGCGAGTGTTCTCAAACGGGCGGGAAATGCCGTCGCCCTGGGACCCGCTGGACGCTTTAGCCGACCCACCCTACCCGCTGCCCGGGGGTGTGTGTCGGGTCCGAAGCATGCGGGTTTTGGGGACCCGGCAGTTCGCCCTGCCGAACGCACCGAGCGGGAAGGTGGCAGTAGGGGGGG